AAATTTTTTCTTGTTATTGGTTCGATTAATTCTATATTACTATTAGAATAATAAAATATATGTGAAATTTTATTATTAGTTGAACTATATAATTAATTTGACATGATATATTCATATATCAATCAGTAAATTTTAGATCGACCATTTTTGGTTCGACCAAAGGATTTTAATCCTTTTTGATACCGTATTTTCGGTGCAGAAATCCCGATCGATTCGGATAACTTTTTTTATAATATCGATTTTAATTGAACATTTTCGGCAGGGTAGTGGTGAACATGTTAATTGATAATGGATACCAGTTGAGTTTAATTTTCGATAAAATTAAATATAGAATAAAGAGTCTAATTTTCACTAAACTGAACGACGATTACACTGTTAAAACGAGTGAGGTAATAGGAGGGTCATAGCTTTTCCTTACATCAAAAATGCGTCAGAAATTGTTGCCTCGGCTATAAATAAGAGTTTTTAGTTGGGTTCAGATGTCTCAATAAGCTGAATAAATTTATAAAGAGACATAAAGACAAGATCTCTACTGATTCTAATAATAATGCAGTGTATAGAATTAGTTGTAACGATTGCGACGCCACATATGTGGGACAGACTAAGAGAAAGTTGAAAACGAGAATTTTGGAACATAGGAGAAATATTCTTTTGGATGATTCGAAGCACTCGGTAATTACGAACCACATATTGAAATCGAGACATACGTTGGATTGGGAACATGCGACAATTCTCGATTCAGAACCTAATTATCACAAACGTCTTGTTTCTGAAATGATCTATATCAAAGCGCAAAAAATGGTCTTAATTCTAATAAAGATACCGAGATGCTAGATGAGACATATTTCAGCTTGTTAGATAGAATTGTAGAGGAATTTTAATGTTTGTCTCCACGACATTTACATCGTATAAACAATCCATCCGATTTGACCTATAATGTCTGTACGTTTGACGCTCTTCGTTTAGTCCGCAATAGATTCTCGGAAACATAACATCTTGTTAGAAGCTTAATTATTTACTTACCGTAAGTGTTAAAAATCGCAGTCTCAGTTATCGTGAATTTATGTAACGCGTATCAATTGTGTTCGATCCTCATAGAATCAGCTGGGGAAGCATCGTTGGTATAATGAAGCGACATGTTAAATATCTAATATGGAATTACATTTGGCTGGAAGAAGAGGACAATAAGATCTGTTCAACATTTATCTAAATTTCCATATGCGTGGATTCGGTGTAGTTTGTAATATCATATAATAGCGATTGAGAAAGGCTAAGTAAGCCGAAACTAGTCTCGGGTTTTCTTAATTTTAATTTTATTTAAATGATTTATTAAAGAATTTTTATTGATTGACACCCTTTGTTTTATGCTCGACTTTGGCCTATTGTCCTGTCTTTTTTATTGTTTTACAAATGTTTACGAAATACATATTTCAAAAAATGATTCTCAAAAAATATTTCATGCTATGTGGGAAACGCTTAGTTTCCGAGATATTTTGAGGTTTTTACACGAACATCCTGTATGTTAAATTTTTGAAAATATATTATTTAAATATACATGCTATAAATGCAGAATATTTAAATAATGGTTTCTTAACAATTTTCAAGTTCATCTTATTTGTATTAACTGTACATGTATAAACTTCCCTATCATTATTAAACTTAATTTAGAAAATCTATAATTTATAAAAACTTTTAAACAAAAATTTGTTTATAATTTTGTGTATATACATTTTTCAATACGTATACTTTTGATATACATATATACGCGCGCGCTCTCACACACACACACACACACACACACACACACACACGCACACGCGCACGCACACGCACACGCACACGCACACGTATTTATATATCATTATTCTATACGAAAACGCAAATGGCTTTGCCTATAAATGGTTTGAGCCTTTTTAAATGTAGGAGTACTCAAATTTTAGCTTTTTTATGTTCTGGCAATTTTGGAAAACTTTAAAATGGCACTTACAGTGGTGTCCTCTTTTTTCTGTTGTCAAAGAATTTTTGAAACAAACTTTAATTACCGAAGCACGAGGGGCTAAATATTTTTTCTATTTTTATAAATTAAGGTTTTTAAGCTCGCTGAATATGAATCGTAATCATATATAATTGTGAAATTCACATCAGCAGATTCTAAATGGCGGCCTTTAGCTAATTTTCAAATAAAATGACTTTTTGTACAAGACTCAGCAAACAGGTGTTTTTTGACTGCCAATGTTATAAATTTTCAATTTTCAAAGCGGAATTCGGAATATCAATATGGTGAGTGAAATACATATATATAGCCAGGATGCATCTCAAGTTGGAAGATTTTTAGACGTATTAATGAGTAGCTAGGTACTGGTTTATTTGTTCTTTGATTACAGTTTTTATTCTAAATGTAAGTTTAAAATTGTTGATCCAATATGGTGGATAAAATATAAAAGTTGCATAATTTTAAATAACAAAAGGTCTAGCAAGTTAAGGAGGGGATTTCCGGCCCCGCGCAAAATCGATCGTTGTAGTGAACAAAATGTTCACCCAAATAAAAGAAAATTTCGTGCCAAGTTCATTTCAAAAGACCTACACAATTTTGAAATATCACAAGAGATGTGATTTTTCATTAATATTTTTTTTCTCCGCTAAGTTTAAATTAGTCTTTACAAAAAAATTCATGATTACAAAGGTTATCCATATATACATAAGTTCGAATTTTGTTGTTCTGTGCTGAAAATTCTGTTTTTAAAAAAATCTAAAAAATTTTAAATCGCATTTTCTCTAGATCTAAAAAATCACTTTTAAAATAATTCAGTAGATAAGTCTTATGACATATTATATTCGATATTTTTTTTCAGATTTTTTGATTTGGTGGAACATGGAAACCCTGTTGAAAAAAACCAGGTGGGAATCCATATGGGGAATCCATATGGATAATCCATATGGGATTCCATATTATTTCCTATGGGAATTTGGGCCAAAAATTCAGGTCCTATGTAGAAATCTATGTGGATTTCTATGTAATAATCCATGTGGATTCCTACACAGAGAAAAAATTAATTTAAAAAATTTATTTTTTTTTATTCAATTATTACATATTATTATTTTTAAAGTTTAATTTGTGTTTACTATTCCGCATATTTTCTATTTTATATAATTACAATTTATACGCAGGTTTATAATTTTTGAAAACACATCAAGATTCGAACCTGAGATCCCTAGAAC